GGTGCAAGCAGGGGAGGGACAGAGACAGAGGGAGACACAGAGTCCAAAGCAGTCTCCAGGCTCTGAGCTGTCAGCACAGGGCCTGATACAGGGCTTAAACTCACAGACCGCAAGATCATGACTTGAGCTGAAGTCAGATGCTTAACTGAATGAGCTACTCAGGCATCCCAATGAATAAACTACTTTAAAAAAAAATTTTTTTAACGTTTACTTATTTTTGAGAGAGAGCGAGGCAGACCATGAGTGGGGGAGGGACAGAGAGAGAGGGGGACACAGAATTTGAAGCAGGATCCAGGCTCTGAGCTGTCAACACAGAGCCCGACGCAGGGCTTGAACTCCGGAATGGCGAGATCATGAACTAGGTCAAAGTCCGACGCTTAACCAACTGAGCCACCCAGGTGCCCTGTGAATAAACTATTTTTAAAAAAATTTAAAAAGAGCAGCAGTGGAGAAACCTGACAAACACCACCTTAGCTCACTGACCATGGTCAACATCAACAGAGCTGTCACGTTGATAGCATGTCCTGTTGATATGATGTGATGAGAAATGGCACTTTACCTCTGTGGTCTTCCTTCCAAAAAAACCCATAACCCCAGCCTAATCATGAGGAAATCACTGAAATATCCCAATTGAGGGACATCTGCAAAATATTTAACTAATACTCCTAAAAAAATTGTCTAAATCATCAAAAATAAGAAAAATCTGAAGGGCGCCTGGGTGGCCCAGTTGGCTGAGCATCCAACTCTTCATTTTGGTTCAGGTCACGATCCCAGATTGTGGGATCAAGCCCTGCATTGGGCTCCACACAGAGCACGCAGCCTGCTTGGGTTTCTTTCTCTATCTCCCTTTGGCCCCTCTCCCCTGCTCATGCTCTCTTTCTCTCTCTGAAATATAATAAAATTTCAATTTACAAAACATTTTAAAAAATAAGAAAAATCTGAGAAATTGTCATAGCTGAGAGGAGCCTAAGAAGACATGAAAACTAAGCGTAATGTGGTCTCCTCGTGGGAATCTGCAGGAGATAAAGGACGTTGGGTAAAATCAAAGTAAATCTACCAAAGAATGAACCTTAGTCAATAATAATATATCAGTATCGGTTCATTAATTGTGGCAAATGTACCACTGTAAGATGTTAATAGTAAGGGAAACTGGGTGTGCAGTATATGGAAAGTATGTATACTATCTTCACAACTTTTCTGTAAATCTAAAACTGTTCTAAAACTAAATAGTTATTATAAAAAGTTACAACACTGTAGGTTTCATGTGACCTGCATTTTGTTTAGGGAGAATTACAATTTAAATATAGTCATGTCATTATTTATATATCAAAAGGAGTCTTGAACTGTGCTGTCCATACATAGCCCCTAGCTACATGTGGCTCTTAAACACTGAATTGTGATGTGTCCAAATTATGATGTGTTGTGAGTGTAAAATATACACCAAGTTTCAAAGACTTGTATGAAGAAAAGAATGTAAACAATCTCATTAATATTTTTATTGACTAATGTCGAAATGATATTTGAGGATTATCAGGTTAAATAAATTTTTAAATTAATTTTATATATTTATTTATAGCTTCTTTTCATGTGGCTACTAAAAAGTTTATTTATGTGGCTCACATTGTATTTCTATTGATTGCAGTGGTCTAAAATGATAGACATGAAATGTTAATAATAGTTATTCCTCGTAGTAGAATTCAGGGTAATTGTTTTAGCTTTCCTCTTTCTAATTTTTCTTTAATAAATGCGTGTTCCTTGTACAATAAAAAAAGTAATAAAAATAAGACACATAGAACAATTGCTATGAAATGTCACACTAAAAGATGGAAGCACCAAGCAGAAATGTCAAGCCAGAGAGTCCTTCATTAATTAATTATTCATCCATTCATGTGAATACACATACATTAAGTATCCCATGTACAAAGCTCCGGGACAATTGCTGGAAATATGAATACACCAAAAAAGATGAGTTATAATTATTTCCTACAAGTTCACGGTTACTTGACATGTTAGGCTTATTAATAAAATTTTCAAACACTATAAGGTCAGTGATACTACAGGATTCTTAGAGTCAATTCTCCTCTATTTCTTGCCTTAAATGCTGCTGTTTTTCTGGCTCCAACCTTACTCTAATTCTTTGTCCACACTTGGATTGCAACTAATACCTGTGCTAATGACTATCAAGGCTCTAATCTTGATTTTGCTTCAGACCTATGTATACAGCCCACTTCCTTTTGGTCAGATGACCTTTGAGCAATATAAAATGTATAATCCTAAAACCTATAATCTCACCTCCTCTACTTCAAGCTCTTCTGATTCTGTATTTCTTACCTTAGTTAATGATACTATCTTACCTCACAGCTCTGTGTAAAAGGCAGATTTACATATTTTACTTCACTTCTCACAATTTTTTAGACCTAGCCTGGCACAAGCCCACACATGATTCACCCTTAGCTACCAATTCAACCTCCTCTCCTGACACATCTCTCACCAATGTTGACCTAGATATACCAAAATACTGAATTCAAGAAATGCCATGAGTTAACACATCTCTTATCTCCATCCCTCTCTCTACTCTTCTCTTTGTTTGGAGTTTCCAACCTCATCACCACCTCCTCCTCATGGTCCTCTGATATCTCCTCTCTAAAGCTTAATTTAAGGTCTAGGCAAGTTTAAAGTCTCTGTCCTTTGGCTCCCTTTGAAATTTGTACATACTTCCAAAATAGCACTTATCTCCTTGTACATTTTTATATTTGTTGCCTGCTTCCTCTAGGATACTCAATTTCTTGAGAGCAAGGATTATGTCTCTTTCACCTCGATATTCCCAACATGACACAGAACATGACAAGTAGAAGACTCTCAAGTTTACTGAATATTTCCCATCTTTCCTTCACCTTTCTTCCTCTACTGGGATCACTCTTAACCCCTAGAATAGTTCCTTGAGTGTCCCAAGCAGGCTTCCACCTCTGGGGTTTTTTACTTGAATATTGTTGCTTCAAATGTTTCCCTTCATCCCATGATTCAGATCACTGCTCAAATGCCACCTCATCAGATACGTCTTTCCTTCAGTCTTATACAGCTAGTACTCCTCCAACCCATCCCACTTTCCCCTTACCCTGTCTCACATTTTTTCATGGCAATCATCATTAGCAGACATCATATTATATATGTGTTGGCATATTTTTTATCTGTATATCCACCAGAATATAGCATCAAGAAGCCTAGGACTTCATCTGAATTATTCAACAAATGAGTCAGATCTGATGCATGTATAAAAAAATAAATGATGTTATTTATCACCTACACATGACACTGTCTCTCTTCCATTTCCCCTTCATTTGCTTTATTCTCATCAAGCCATATATCTAGGACAAAAGAAGGATTAAGACACAAAACCCCAAGAAATGTCAAGTATAATAAGGTTGAGTAAGCAATAATATTATAACTTGAAAAGAGACAATGGTTCAGCTAACCATTTATTAAATTTGTTTCAAGAATGCATTTTACCTTCTAATTCATTTATTCAACAAATATTTATATCACCTCTATCATTTGTCCTTTTTGAAAAGTTAAAAGCAGCCTCATACATTTGTATCACTGTTCATAGTTTACAAGGTCCTTTCTGACACTCCAATGTATCCTCATAAACAATTTTTTGAGGTAAGCAGATCTTCTGAGGAATGAGTTGGTTACCAGATTAAGAATCACTGGGTTGTAAAAATTTTCAGCTAGGAAAGTATTCCATCATTTTATTGTTGATACAACTATGTACAGAGGGCCATTATCAATCTATTTATTTCACCTCAGAGAGCTGTAATACACACATTGTCCATCAGTACCAGTACATTAATTCTCACTTCTGGGACTCCCAGCTTGCCCTAAGCTTCAGTGCTAATATGAATATTTCACGGTATAATGTACAAACTTTGAGGATAGGTGCAATGCCTTCTCTATTTCTTCTACTTACTCTAAGGCTCTCACACACTATGTATTCTCCCATAAATATTTGTTAGTAAAGAGAATCGTTATTAAGGTAAGAATCTGTCTATTCAGGAAATTTTCAAGGCAACTGTGATAACTGGTCTCCAAAGATGGTCTTCCAATGAACTACACCTCTCAGTATTCAGATTCTTGTGTGGACGCCCCCACCCCCCCCCCCCCCCCCCCCCTGAAAACTGTACTCGACTGTAAGTACAATGTGGTAGAAATCATGTTACATGACTTCTGAGGCTCTGTTGGGAGAAGCTTTGCAGTTTTTGTCTTGATTTCTTAGAATACTTGCTCTGGGGGAAGGCAGCCGTCATGTGAGCTGTTCTGATACTACCATGATAAGAGGAAGTCAAATGAGAGAAAGATGGCTAGTCAGCCTTCAGCAATTTCAGAACAGCACCCCCATCCCAAGCTCCATCATGTAAGCAAAGAAGCCGTAAAGATGTCACACCCAACTGAGACATCAGATGACATCAGTCCAGCCAACAACTGACCATGAACACATGAAAGACCTTGAGCAAAAACCACACAGCTGAGCCCACTCAACCCACAGAACTTTAAGAGGTGATAATGAAGTGTTGTGTTAAGGCACCAAAGTTTGAGGCAGTTTGTTACACAGCAGCTGTGACTTATTGGTTTATGGAAACCTTGTTGTGTCCTCTGGTAAGAGTGCATCTATTTGGGGGACTGGGACCACCAGTCCTGCAGCTCTATTTTTCTATGCCCTTTTCAAAACTGGAAGCCTTTCACATCACTCAGTAAATAGGTCTAGGCTATAACAACACACTCAAGTAAGACATATGTTGTCTCCAAAATCCAATGAGGCACATCAGGTATTATGACTCTTTCTTAACAGTAGGAGAGACCAGATGTAGCAATTTGACCTTCATCCTGCAAGAGGCATCTCAATTTGTCCCAGAGCATGGAAACCCAAAAATGTTCACTGAGGGAGCAAGCCCCTAAATTTTTCTTGGATGTATTTCCTACCCTTTAGCATATATGTGTCTTACCAAGGTGTCTAAAGCAGTTGGTCCATCAACGTAGTGGATCCATGTGATGTCTTGTGGAATGGCAATGCAATCAAATCCCTGTGGAACAAAATAGGACAAGGTGAAGAGAGCTGACATATATTTAAAGTGAAACAATGAAGGTATACTGCTGGACCTTCTGGGTAAAAAAAAAAAAAAAAATGTTTCCAGTAATCTCTGCTAGCAGGTATACAGAAGAAAAAAATTATTTTTCATATCAATGCCTGAGTCAAATGTCAAAGGATTTGTTGATTTAATCCAGCAATGAAGCCACATCTGGAACAGCAGCTGCAATTCTATTCACCATCTCGTTATATGCACAGTAATCCTTTGCCATTCTTCAAGAGTCATCTTCCTTCCACTCAGGCCAAATAGATGAGATGAATGGAGATGAGCTGGCAATTGCCAGCGCTATATCTTGTAAGTCCTTTATAGAGGCATTAATGTCTACAGTTTCTCCAGTATTACTGGATCTACCGTTTTGGAATTCAGAGGCAATTCTAATGTCTTCGACTTGTCCTCATTCCATAGATCAGACAACAGTTACAGTGATTCTGCCATTTGCTGAGTGTGTGTCTTTCAATTAGACACTCTAGAACTTGGGAAATAACCATGGGGTGAGTTCAGAGCCCAGCTGGATACCCTGTGAGATATACTTGAGCCAAAATACTATTAATCATTTGGCCGTAATAAACCCCTACTCTGATAAGTGGACAGAGTGGCATACTGGGTTTCCAAGACTTAGTATCATTTCAGAGCCAGTGTCCAGAAATCCCCAAAAAGTCTAGGTATTTTCCCTTCCCCAGTGCATTTACGTTGGCAAATGGCTGCAGGTCTTTTGTGGGAAAGGAAAAAGGAAAATTTCTAATTTTTTTTAAATTAAAAAAAAATTTAATTCTATAAACTAAAATTTTAGATTAGATAAACTTTGTCCATATAAATTAGAAAAATCTTACAATTCTTTTAGCATGTATGACACCTCATTATTTTGTACTTGTCCCCATGGGGCCCGGTTTTAGATATAGGAACAATGAAAGATGTTGAGGCTGGCTCTCGAAGAGTCTCAGCATTTATCCAGAGGATAGATTCTTCAAGCAAGGAGGGACTAAACTCCCCAAATAAGGGAGGGAGTCAGCTTCTGGAAAAGGAAGACTGAGGGGCTGCAAGACCTTGGTTTCCTCAGAATCTGCCCACATGTGGCTATTTTCAGGAGCCTACGTCAATCCCAATCAATGCCTTAATTTTAACCATAAGAGACCTTGAATTAAATTGGTATTATAATCCAGCTACCCACAAGATTAGCCTTTGGGTTTGGTTTTCAGAAATGTCCAACCCGGCGGTTATGAGAAATAAAGATTTCTATCAAAGCAGTCACAGAAACTTTGCAGTTCCTTCCTGGACCTTGAGTTGAAAAGGTTGAAAAGGTTGAAAAGGTAAGTTCATTATTTTCTTCCTCCAATTTCTCTATGGGCACTCAGAAGAAACCCACACCTCCTGCTCTTTATTTCTACTAAATTGTTCTATGGCAACAGCGATCTGGTAACCCAACTCCTTTTTTCCATACACCCCAATGTCAGGAACTACTAGTGTCCCATTTACCATTGCCAGTGGGGTCACTAATCCTACTAAAATCAGAGAATCAATACTAACTTCCCATCCTTAAAGTTCTGTTCCTCCAAATCAGTTCCAGGGCCAAAAATTGTTATCACTTAGAGGTCAGCCAGGTTAGCAGAACCACTGTAACTCCAAGATAGAATCAGTTACAATTCTGTAGCTACCTCTTATGTGGACCCAAGGCCAAGCATCTCATGATGGGCCTGGCGTCACTGTTGGCCAGGGAAGTCAAGAGTCAGAAAGATTAGCTGGACATAGAATGTAGGAGAACAAAGACAACTTGGGACCTGGCTAGTACCTCTGTATCTGACCACCGTGACCTTGTAAGAGGAATTGTAACTCTTTCACTTTTGTCTTCCAGATCACATGCTATTCCATCTTTTGGCCATCTTTACTGCAGAACTACATGTGGAAGGAGATTCTGGGAAACACAACTGTCTGCTTAACCAAACTGACCAGCACAGTCCAGCAGTTCTAAAGTGCTTGTCCTTATCCCAGATCTCAGAAGACAGTGAATATGGGCAGAAAGGAAAGCAGAGAAGACCCTAGGGGCTCACTGGTGGTCTTGTGACTGCAGCTGACCTGTGATTTGGAAGATTCCTGGAGACAGCAGTTGAGGCACACAGGGAACCTTCCTCTTAAAGATGAGACCATCAGTCTGGATCTACTGAGATTCCTCTCAGAGACAGTGAAACTAAAAGGTACACTATGGGTATGAGGAACAAAAGGCTCATTTCTTGTTTTAGACTCAGTCTTCCAAAGGGAGAAGAACACCAAAAGGAGAGTGAACAGAATCCTTGGGTCCCATAAATTCTAAAATACAGAGCACTTTATTTTGAACTGATTTACACAGGCAGTGCTTGCCTGTCAATGTTTCAGGCAGTATCTCATCAAATGAAAGAAAGAGAGAAATGGAGAGGAAGATTCTTAAAACCACTCAGTAAAGATGCTGACCTCTTCTTGCACATCAGGACTCCCCAGCTCAGAGTACTGGCCACCTATCTCCATGTAGCAGTTACACAGTGCTCCCCAGCCCCTGCCTCCTGCCACTAAGTGCTATGATGTGGGCTCCAGCCACATTCCCCGCCAGGCACTCTGGCCACAGTGGTAGAACCAGAAAACAGGGGGGAAATCTGCAAAAGGAACCTCAGACTTCCCAACCTCATAGTAATGTTTCTCAACCTGAGTCAGGTATAGCTCCTTTAAAGGACAAATAATTTTCATAGACCCCAGTGTTAGCTGCACTACTTTTAACATAATATTATTTAAACATGTAGAAACATAAAATGGTGTTTAAACTCTGTATGCTTATTGCGCTTGTACCAACAATAAAAAAATACAAGTGAAACGTGTAAAATTTTAAAACCAATAAAACTTTAAAGATTTTCATTTAATATTATACGTGAAGTTTTGCTGAAACTATATCATCAGTTTTGAATTGAAGAGATGAAAAATATATATGTGGTAGTGGATTTTACTCATCAGCTTGATGTTTTTTATTTTGTGCATAATTTTCACCGTTGTTATTTTTCCTTTGTTCAAACACAAATTCATATTGAATCGTTAATCTCTTCACTTGGTGGTCCAATTCCGTTCACTTGGCAGTCCAATTAATTTACGATCCACCAACAGGGCAATATTGAAAGAAATAGTTTTAACTTTTAATGAAACATTCTTTACTGAGTAATTACTACTGTAGGTATTCCTAATCAACTGTAGTCAAATAAATGGCTTACCAAAAGATGACTTCTACACAGCATAGCTACATGCATGATGAATACAGCATTGGTCACACATTGAGTTTTACATGTGTATGGCATCTCAGATGTGATGATTCCATTTGCTTACAATTTTTTTCTATTCAAATTACCTGACATCACTTGACCTTCATTATTGCTAACATTACTAAAAAGCAAAGGAGGGTGTTGGAATCTTGTGCCAGTATTTGCTTACAAGATCATTATTAAGATAAGCCCCAATGTGAGTCAGTTGCATTTTACAAGAAATATATATTCTTTATAGTCTTTCATAATTCAAGGTGGGAAATTCCCAGTGGGAGCAAATGAGGAATTGATTTACGGAGCCCATATATTTACAAATTTGTAGCACATTTCTGTTTTCATGCTGTTCTTTATTTTCTTAGCATTATCTATAATATTTAGCAATTGCTCTTCTTTAAATTAATAATAAAACATCAAGGCAGTCGTCTGGCCTTCTTCATGGCACCAAATTATAGCTAAGATCTGTTTAAAAGTTACAAATAAAATAAGTTATGTATTTTTTTCCATTTTTTTTTTAACGTTTATTTTTGAGACAGAGAGAGACAGAGCATGAATGGGGGAGGGTCAGAGAGAGAGGGAGACACAGAATCCAAAACAGGCTCCATCCAGGCTCTGAGCGGTCAGCACAGAGCCCGACGCGGGGCTCGAACTCATGGACCTTGAGATCACGCCCTGAGCTGAAGTCAGAGGCTTAACCGACTGAACCACCCAGGCGCCCCAAGTTATGTATTTAGATACACACTTTGCAGCATGAGCTTTGGTACCAACTCTTAACAAAAGCTACTATAATGATGCATAAAATAATTTGAAAAATTTTAAGGGGCCGTTAAACATAATAGCAGAAAAGTAACCAATATTTCTTACAGATATTCTCGTGAAGCACAAGGTAGAACACAACAGGCTAACAAGGAATGTCCTGGTTGCTTCCCTTACAAGCTGAAGTGTCGCCACCCTGTGGCAGGAGTAAAAATAATTCACAATTCTTTTAGTTCATCAACTGAAATTATGCAAATCTTAATTTAAATTTGGTGAAAACTCCAATATTACAAATTTTGCTCATGATATATGGATTATTAACTTTTATATCGCACCACTTAGATTTCACAAAATTTATGCTGCATGTTTTAGACAATACTGTATTAAAAACATTTTTAATTTTCATAAAAATATGAAGACCCATAAAAATTCCAAGATACATCACCAGAAATATGATAAGTACAAAGTATAAATAACTTTTTTAATGCAATTTTAAAATAACCTCTATTGCTATTATAATTTCCATATGGGTCTTAGAAATGACTTAAAAGTCATGGTAACTTTGTCTCTATAAAAAAGAACTCTATTCAAAAAAGGGATAAAAACTTAATAAAATGTAGAATACCGTCCATCACTAACATGAAATTCATAAGTCATTTGCTTTCTAAATCCTTCAATCAGTAACCTAAATAATCCAAATTCTCAATATATTTAAGGCATAATTTATTACCTTGTTTATTGCAAAACAGTATAATGTAGCCTGATTGTCAATTAGCTGTTACCAAATTATGATTTTTTTTAATCTCTAAGAAAGTATCTCACTAGTGAGTAGTGAATATCTGAGTTCATGGGAATTGGGTGATTACCTGTTTTCTCATTATGCTTTTGTATTTTCCAAATTTACAATAA